TATCTCTGGTTCCATGATGCTTGTCCACAGGGTTCTGATGAGGACAAAACCACAGGCGAGACGGGCTGGACCACCCGCGCGTGCGGCTTCTCGGATCCCGGGGTTGCCAGGACGGCCTCGATGTTTTTTTTGCTTCCCGGGCCTGCCCATCAGGGCATCAAGGACGGTCCAAGAGGCCACCGGTATACTCGAGGCAGAGACCTCAAAGGGACCAGAGGACACTCCACGTCGCCCCTCCTGTCATAAAACGACGCGAAGATCGGGACAAAATCGGATCGGGATAATTCGAAATCTCTGAGAATCGGCGGGTTTGGAGGATGTATTGGGCGCCGCGGCCGCTCCAGAGCGTTCCGGAACGCTCTGAGAGCGCTCCGGAACGCTCTGGAGCGATTTATCCCGATCCTAGCCCTGTTTTATGTCACGGTGGCGGACACGGGCCAAGAGCAGTAGGACGGAGTGGATGAGTGCAGAGGGGGGACGGCTGCAGTCTGGAGTTCTCATGGCTTAGGGACGAGTCTGGCGGGGAAGTGCGGCACGCGCCCAGCCAGTGGAATCTCAGCATCAAATCCTCGTTCGCCCAAAGAAGCAGATGCTTCAGTAATTCGGACCATTCATCTGTTTCCCTCTCCCCTTCAGAAGATTCTTCGCCTCCTCTAGCAGAGCGCTACCCACGCAGCCGGGACATCGCCCATCTCCGACGCGCTTACCCGTCGGTCGTTCAAAAGGGGGTACTTCTGGACTCCCAGATCCCAATCTACTTTAGCCGCCTTCCTACTTCAATATTCGAATGGTTTCCCTCTTCCCTCCTTTTCAGGGGGCGGGCGGAAACCCAATCTACTCCAAACGCCTTCTTACTTCATGATTCCATCTGCTTCTTCCGACCGACGGATATCCTTCTCCTCTTCCTTCTCTGCCCACCAGCAGCTCAGCGGGTCACCTGCGACGCCTGCAGCTACTGCTCTCCATTTCCGACGTCTTTTGCGCAAGCACGCCTCGTCACATACCTCACACGTCAGGTGCGGGTCTATGTCAACATCGCCGTGTGCCACAAGAAGAGTGGGCTGGGGGGGAGACCCTCGTGAGCGTCGTGTCGGGAACCGCGCTCACCAGCCGCTAAACGAGTCGGGGAAGCGATTTGGGGGCAGTGCAATTCCGGCTCGTTTCGCATCCTTTGACATTTCACTTGTTCGGAACGGAGGGATATGCAATAGTGGGTTGGTTGGGGTCTCATGGCCAGGGGACTAGCACAGGCTATGTTCCCCCTTGTGCATGCACGCTCGAGCGAACAGCTCAGATGGGAGCGACGTCGCGCAAGGGAGCTCTGGACACGCGGACGCTGCGAGGGGAGGGGGCGGGGTGGGGGAATGGAGGAGTGTCGACTGCACTGAGTCCTTTTCTGGAGTGTCGACTGCACTGGGCCCCGCTGGGGTCGCCGATCGCTGAATGCGATGCGACAGCAGCGGCCCCCTCTGCGCCCCCCTAAATCTGCGACCAACTGCCCACCCTCCTTGCCTGCGGGTCCACTCGACGCTGGGGTATCGGACGCCCTCGCTGGGGTCACGTGGCTGCACGCACCCTTCGAATTCTGAACACCAGTCGGCGTCTCCGAAATCTGACTGCAGGGTTAAGCATGACCCCGCCTTGGAGCGTCCGGATTCGCTATCGGGTGCATATCGCCGATCTATCGGCGATGCATCGCCGATTGCAGCTAGATGTTTTTCTCCCCCTTAAGCCTGTCCCCCCTTAACGTTGCCCCTCAGGGGGCCACGTATGCACGAACCCGAAGGCCGCCCACACGGGGTACCCAACAGATGGGGCCATAGGACCACGCCGCATCGCCGACGCCTCGGCGATACATCGGTGACATCGGGACGGAGGCATCTCAGGAGGAGTTGACAGGCCCAGGCACACATCAACGTCTCTTTCCATGCCAATGTCTGAAGACACTGGGGCTGGAGGAGAAGGCGGAAGTCCACAAGGTGTACACATACTATATGAATGTAAAGAACACGGGAACAACACTTCTGTCTATTTATTATGTAGGCTTACGCCACATCCGCCGACCCCTCTATAAACTACTGCACGTCCAGGACTGCTTTCCACGAGGCTTGTCCGATTCCTGGGAGGTTCTTGGGGGCCTTTGGGAGCTCTGTTCGGGCTCCCTGGGGGCTTTTTGGGGCGTGTTGGGGGCTTCTTGAGGCAACCTGAGGGCGTCCTGGGGCCGAAGGCTGGAAATGTGGGTTCGGGTTCCCCCCGTGGGCCCTCTTTGGCGCCGTTCGGGGGCCCTCTGGGGCCGTCATCGGGGCTATGTTGGCGGTCTTGGGACCCTTCTGGGCTGTCTTGGAGCTGTCCTAGGGGTCTTTTGGGCAGTCTTGCACGGTGTGTATTTGTTCCCAACCCTCCTTGGTTGGGTATTCGTTTTGAATGGAGCACTGTGGTCGCGTCCCTCCTTCTCCCGCCTCCCGCCTCCTCCTGCCCTCTCTTCGCCGACGATGGGGGCTGCGATCTGCGAAACTGTCGCCCCTTTCGAGGGCTGCTGGTGGGTCCTGCGGAGTGGGGCACCGCGCAGATCTGAACGGGACCTCGCCGTCCCTGGGGGGCTGCGATCTGCGAAATTGTCGCCACTTTCGAGGGCTGCTGGTGGGTCCAGCGGAGTGAGGCACCGCGCAGATCTGAGCGGGACCTCGCCGTGCCTGGGGGGCTGCGATCTGCGAAGCTGTCGCCACTTTCGAGGGCTGCTGGTGGGCCCTGCGGAGTGAGGCACCGCGCAGATCTGAGCGGGGCCTCGCCGTCCTTGGGGGGCTGCGATCTGCGAAACCGTCGCAATTTTCGAGGGCTGCTTGGGGGGCCAGCATAGCGATCGCGGAAGTGTCTCTACTTTCGAAGGCTGCTGGCGGGTCCAGCGGAGTGAGGCACCGCGCAGATCTGAGCGGGACCTCGCCGTCCGTCCCTGTGTCGCCATTTTCGAGGGCTGCTGGTGGGTCCAGCGGAGTGAGGCACCGCTCAGATCTGAGCGGGACCTCGCCGTGCTTGGGGGGCTGCGATCTGCGAAATTGTCGCCACTTTAGAGGGCTGCTGGTGGGTCCTGCGGAGTGAGGCACCGCGCAGATTGAGCGGGACCTCGCCGTCCCTGGGGGGGCTGCGATCTGCGAAACTGTCGCCACTTTCGAGGGCTGCTGGTGGGTCCAGCGGAGTGAGGCACCGCGCAGATCTGAGCGGGACCTCGCCGTGCCCTGGGGGGCTGCGATCTGCGAAATTGTCGCCACTTTCGAGGGCTGCTGGTGGGCCCTGCGGAGTGAGGCACCGCGCAGATCTGAGCGGGACCTCGCCGTCCTTGGGGGGCTGCGATCTGCGAAGCCGTCGCCACTTTCGAGGGCTGCTTGGGGGGCCAGCATAGCGATCTGCGGAAGTGTCGCCACTTTCGTGGGCTGCTGGTGGGTCCTGCGGAGTGAGGCACCGCGCAGATCTGAGCGGGACCTCGCCGTGCCTGGGGGGCTGCGATCTGCGAAACCGTCGCCACTTTCGAGGGCTGCTGGTGGGTCCAGCGGAGTGAGGCACCGCGCAGATCTGAGCGGGACCTCGCCGTCCTTGAGGGGCTGCGATCTGCGAAGCTGTCGCCACTTTCGAGGGGTGCTGGTGGGCCCTGCGGAGTGAAGCACCGCGCAGATCTGAGCGGGACCTCGCCGTGCCTGGGGGGCTGCGATCTGCGAAGCCGTCGCCACTTTCGAGGGCTGCTGGTGGGTCCAGCGGAGTGAGGCACCGCGCAGATCTGAGCGGGACCTCGCCGTGCCTGGGGGGCTGCGATCTGCGAAGCTGTCGCCACTTTCGAGGGCTGCTGGTGGGCCCTGCGGAGTGAGGCACCGCGCAGATCTGAGCGGGGCCTCGCCGTCCTTGGGGGGCTGCGATCTGCGAAACCGTCGCAATTTTCGAGGGCTGCTTGGGGGGCCAGCATAGCGATCGCGGAAGTGTCTCTACTTTCGAAGGCTGCTGGCGGGTCCAGCGGAGTGAGGCACCGCGCAGATCTGAGCGGGACCTCGCCGTCCGTCCCTGTGTCGCCATTTTCGAGGGCTGCTGGTGGGTCCAGCGGAGTGAGGCACCGCTCAGATCTGAGCGGGACCTCGCCGTGCTTGGGGGGCTGCGATCTGCGAAATTGTCGCCACTTTAGAGGGCTGCTGGTGGGTCCTGCGGAGTGAGGCACCGCGCAGATTTGAGCGGGACCTCGCCGTCCCTGGGGGGCTGCGATCTGCGAAGCTGTCGCCACTTTCGAGGGCTGCTGGTGGGTCCAACGGAGTGAGGCACCGCGCAGATCTGAGCGGGACCCTGCCGTGCCCGGGGGGCTGCGATCTGCGAAATTGTCGCCACTTTCGAGGGCTGCTGGTGGGCCCTGCGGAGTGAGGCACCGCGCAGATTGAGCGGGACCTCGCCGTCCTTGGGGGGCTGCGATCTGCGAAGCCGTCGCCACTTTCGAGGGCTGCTTGGGGGGCCAGCATAGCGATCTGCGGAAGTGTCGCCACTTTCGTGGGCTGCTGGTGGGTCCTGCGGAGTGAGGCACCGCGCAGATCTGAGCGGGACCTCGCCGTGCCTGGGGGGCTGCGATCTGCGAAACCGTCGCCACTTTCGAGGGCTGCTGGTGGGTCCAGCGGAGTGAGGCACCGCGCAGATCTGAGCGGGACCTCGCCGTCCTTGAGGGGCTGCGATCTGCGAAGCTGTCGCCACTTTCGAGGGGTGCTGGTGGGCCCTGCGGAGTGAGGCACCGCGCAGATCTGAGCGGGACCTCGCCGTGCCTGGGGGGCTGCGATCTGCGAAGCCGTCGCCACTTTCGAGGGCTGCTGGTGGGTCCTGCGGAGTGAGGCACCGCGCAGATCTGAGCGGGGCCTCGCCGTCCTTGGGGGCTGCGATCTGCGAAACTGTCGCAACTTTCGACGGCTGGTGGCGGGTTCAGCGGAGCGAGGCACCAGGCAGATCCGAGCGAGTCATCGCAATCCTTGGGGGGCTGCGAGCCTCACGAATGCCGCTCTCAGAAGTAGATGCGCCCATGTTTCGTCATCACCTCCGTATAACGTCTCCCAAGCTACTCATGCCCCGCATTGCGCAGGGGTTGGGTACGTCGCCAGGGCAATTTGTGTCTCCCTGGGTCCATGTAGAAACGGGGCTCCGAATCGGCGCCGCGCCGCCGACGCATCGGCGATGCGGCGTGGTCCTCCGACCCCATCTGCTGGGGGCCGCCCCCTTCGGGGCGGCCCGGGAAGCCCCGCGTGACCCCCCCCGTGCTCTTCTCCGAGGAGGGCGGCGCGCGGGCGCGCGGGCGCGAAGCTGGAGTCGCGCGCCGCGCGTTGCGTGGCGCGGTGCTTCGCGCGCTTTGTCGGTGTATGTCTTGCGATGCGATGCGATGCTCCGCCGGCTCATCCCGCCGTGCCGCTGGAGCCCCGAGGTCGGGGGCGGCCTCCGCGTGTATCGCGCGGATGGTAATAGGGGGTGAATTCAATGGGGGGGAGGAGTCTAGGGATCGTTCAGTGTGCTACATCGGATCGCATGAATCTGGGGATCTTTTGCAAGATCGTTTGCGCGATCATGCGATCCTCCGCGGGGAGGAGGAGGAGGAGGAGGAGGAGGAGGAGGAGGAGGAGGAGGAGGAGGGAGGAGGAGGAGGAGGAGGAGGAGGAGGAGGAGGAGGAGGAGGAGGAGGAGGAGGAGGAGGAGGAGGAGGAGGAGGAGGAGGAGGAGGAGGAGGAGGAGGAGGAGGAGGAGGAGGAATAATAATACGAATACGAATCAGAACAACTTCCAGACTCATAAGAGTAATATTATGAAGCATAATCATACTATTCAGAAGAGAATACTAATCATACTACGAATAAGAAGACTCATACTACGACGAACCATACTAATACCAACAATATGAAGAAGCCGAACACTAATAAGCATACGAAGACGCATCATAATAATAATAATAATGCGAAGACGAAGACGAATCATACCAATAATAACAATACTGAGACTGATAATCATACTACGATTAAGAATGCGAAGAGTACAATGCAACCTATTGATACTAAGAAGTATGACACTAAGACGAATCATACTAATAGGAAAGCTACACCGAATACGAAACTTACTAATACGAATAATAATAATAACGGCGCTAAGACGACACATACTAATGTCAATCGGACTACGAGGATGAGGAATACGAAACGTAATAAGAGGACTACGAATAACACCACACATAACATAATAAGACGAATCATACAACGAATAATAGAAAGAGGAGGATGATGACGTGGAGGAGGAGGAGGAGGAGGAGGAGGAGGAGGAGGAGGAGGGGAAAGGGGGAGGGGGAGGGGGAGGGGAGGGGGGGACGAGGAGGAGGAGGAGGAGGAGGAGGAGGAGGAGGAGGAGGAGGAGGAGAAGTAGACGGAGGAGGAGGAGGAGGAGGAGGAGGAGGAGAAGGAGGAGGAGGAGGAGGAGGAGGATGAGGAGGAGGAGGAGGAGGAGGAGGATACTTACCTGGCTAGTGTTGGGCGGAGATCCAGCAGCTCGCTCTCATAGGGTCGAGCAGCTCACTGCACTCTGAGGCCTGTAACGCCTTAGGAGCCTCCGATGGAGTCAGGCCAGCTTCGACTCGCTCCCTCGGTCGCCAGGCTTGGACTTCGACGCGTATGTTGATGACCTGGGTCTCAGCTGCACGGGCAGCGCCAGGCAGGTCGTTCGTGCGCTGGTGGGCGGAGCCCGAGCGCTCCACAAGTGCATCACTGACGAGTTGCAGTGCCTTCTCGCCATGGACAAAGTTAGGATGGTTGCTAGCAACAATGATGTCGCCTCTCAGCTCCTCCAGAAACTTGGGCCCCTGGCTGGCCAAGGGGTGGGTATTGGAAGAGTAACGAACTTGGGGGTTGACTACACGGCGGGCCGATCCCTGCGGGCTCCTGGCCGTGGCCGTGCGGCCAAGTTTAAAGCTCGTCTTGCGACAGCGCTTCGCAAGACCAGGAGGCTCAAAAAGCTTGGGGACGTCCTCGGGAGGCGCAGCTTGAAGGTCTTTGCTGCGGGACCTCTGGCCGGTGGGACCTACGGGTCCGACATCTTCGGGGTGTCCGATGCCGAGCTCCTGACCTTGCGTCGTGCTGCTATGTCTTGTGTTAAGCCACGCTCGTAAGGGCGATCCCTTGCCGTGCTCAGCCTGCTTGAGGGAGACCCGTGCTGGCGAGCGAGTGTGGCGCCGATTATCAGATGGTCGAAAGAAATCTCGCTGTGCCACACTCGTGCTTTCCCGTGGAGTTTGTCTTGGGCGGAACTGCGCGAGGGCTGGATGCAGACCTTCAGCCACGACAACCACTCGTGGTCTAAGGTTCGTGGGCCGCTCTCGGCCCTCCGCATGTGTATCTACCGTCTGGGGTGGGCCATGCCTGATTTTACCACTCTCAGGGACGACTTTGGGAGAGATATTTCGCTGACGCTTTCCCCCCCCGCTTAATCAAGGTCCTGTGTCGTGATGCGGTGCTCAGAAACCTTGGAGCGGGATTCTGGAGATAAGTACGGGGTGGGGTACAGGTTTTGTTGGGATGTGGTCAAGCAGCAGCTCTCGTCGTCCAAGATCCCCGCCAAGGCCAAGGGTATCATGAGAGCTCAAGCTTGTCGGGCGTTCTGGACAGGAGCCGATGCTGAGGCGGTTGGCCTTTCCGAGGTGTCGAGTCTCTGCCCGTTATGTGGTGTCGCGAAGGACACCTTGCACCATCGGCTGTTTTGCTGCTCGGCGTGTGACGAGCAGCGCAAGGAAGTGCTACCCGCTTGGCTAGTGGAAGCTGCCTGTGATACGTCTAACCCTGATTATGAGGAAGAGCTCTTTATGTATGGGGCGTTCCGTCACCCAGGAGATGTTGCCCCAAGACCCCTGTGTGATGGTGGTGTCTCTCTTGTGTGGCATGTTGAGGACCTCCCTCCTCCTCCTCCTCCTCCTCCTCCTCCTCCTCCTCCTCCTGCTTGTGGTGCTGACAGGGTGGCTCCTGGGGATAGCATGTGGGGATATTTGTTTATGGACGGCTCTTGCCACAGGCATGTGGTGAAAGAACTGTCGCGTGCGGGCTGGGCTGTGACCATGGTGGGGAAAGATGGCGAGCTCCTAGGTGTCCTGAAAGGGCCTGTGTGGGCCCCGTGGCCTCAGACCCCCCAGGCCGCCGAGTATGCTGCGTTCGCGCTCTGTGGAGCTTATGCCGATGCTCCGTCCGTGTGCTACAGTGACTGTCAAACTGTTGTGGACCACGTGGCGTTCGGTGCTGATGCGCTCTGTGGCAAGAGGCAGTACACGGGTCTCGTGCTTCAAGACAAGCACCATTTTGGAAGGAACCTGTGCGCCCTCCACAAAGTTTTGGCCCACAGGGATGTCGATGAAAGTGGCATTTCGGCTAGTGAACGTTCCAGGAGACGCGGCAACCACTTTGCTGACCAGGCTGCCAAAGAGGCGGCGCAATTGCACCCCTCCTTGACTCCTGTTGAGGCTGACGAGCTCGATAGGAAGATCAAGATAGCGCGACTGGTCTTAAAAGCTGGGTCTGTTTTGTTACCTTTTGTGGCCGCGTCTTGAGTTTCGAGGCACCGCCAGGTCCAGGCCCCCTCCCGCTCCTCGTAACCCTCCTCTGGGTGTTGGGCACTCGTGGGCGCAGGTTGGGTCCTTCTGGCAGTGCCGAGTTTGCCTTAAGGGCTCTCGGGCGCGGACCCCTCTTCCTGGGGACTGTCCAGGACACTCCAGGCTGGACCAAGGCGTGCTGCTGAGGTTGGGGCACAAGGTCGTTGCCTTCCCCTGCTCAGATCGCTCGAGTTTGTTTGTTTGCTAGTCATGCAAGTTTTACAGCAGTGGCTTTCAAATTCTAAAGTTCGGCAAAGAGTGTGGCCAGCCCACCATCACGTCAATGCGCAACTTGCGCAAGCTCAAAAAGGGCTTGCATCATGATAAGGCTCAGGTTACGGTTGACATTGCTGACTTTGTCGTTTTATTATAGGAGCTTGGCTCCTCGGTGCCTGTTTGAGCCTCGGACAGGTGCGTCGGTCACTGAAGGAGGCATGGGCGTTGCTGCCAAAGAGAGGAGGAGGAGGAGGAGGAGGAGGAGGAGGAGGAGGAGGAGGAGGAGGAGGAGGAGGAGGAGGAGGAGGAGGAGGAGGAGGGGAGGAGGAGGAGGAGGAGGAGGAGGAGGAGGAGGAGGAGGAGGAGGAGGAGGAGGAGGAGGAGGAGGAGGAGGAGGAGGAGGAGGAGGAGGAGGAGGAGGAGGAGGAGGAGGAGGAGGAGGAGGGAGGAGGAAGGAGGAGGAGGAGGAGGAGGAGGAGGAGGAGGAGGAGGAGGAGGAGGAGGAGGAGGAGGAGGAGGAGGAGGAGGAGGAGGAGGAGGAGGAGGAGGAGGAGGAGGAGGAGGAGGAGGAGGAGGAGGAGGAGGAGGAGGAGGAGGAGGAGGAGGAGGAGGAGGAGGAGGAGGAGGAGGAGGAGGAGGAGGAGGAGGAGGAGGAGGAGGAGGAGGAGGAGGGAGGAGGAGGAGGAGGAGGAGGAGGAGGAGGAGGAGGAGGAGGAGGAGGAGGAGGAGGAGGAGGAGGAGGAGGAGGAGGAGGAGGAGGAGGAGGAGGGGAGGAGGAGGAGGAGGAGAGGAGGGGAGGAGGAGGAGGAGGAGGAGGAGGAGGAGGAGGAGGAGGAGGGAGGAGGAGGAGGAGGAGGAGGGGAAGTGGGAGGGGAGGGGGAGGGGGAGGGGAGGAGGAGGAGGACGAGGACGAGGAGGAGGAGGAGGAGAGGAGGAGGAGGAGGAGGAGGAGGAGAAAAAGGGGAAGTAAACGGAGGAGGAGGATCAGGAGGAGGAGGAGGAGGAGGAGAAGGAGGAGGAGGAGGAGGAGGAGGAGGAGGACCAGGAGGAGGAGGAAGGGGGGCGGGGCGAAGGAGGAGGATGAGGAGGAGGACGAATCACATCAATAATAATATGAATAATAAGAATACTAATAATAATATGCAATAATAATACTAATGATGATAATAATACTAATAGTAATATAAACAACAATACTACTACTACTGATAATAATAATACTCATACTAATAAGACCATTACTACTACTATTGATATTACTACTAATAGTAATACGAATATTAATACTAGTACTGATACTGATACTAATACTAATACTAATACTAATACTAATACTAATACTAATACTAATACCCATACTATTTCTAATACTAAAACTAATAATACTACTAATACTAATAATATTAACCGTAATAATACTAATAATACTACTACTAATAATAATACTGATATCAGTATTATTACTATTATTAATAGTAATAATATTACTAATAATGATAATAATACTAATAATAATACTAATAATAATATTAATAATAATACTAATAATACTAATACTACGGAGACTAATGATATTATTAATATTAATAATAATACTAATAATCATAGTAATACTAATAACAACAATAATAATATAATGATACTAGTATTCATAATAAGAAGGATATTAGTCAGAAGAAGAAGCGGAGGAGGAGGAGGAGGAGGAGGAGGAGGAGGAGGAGGAGGAAGAGGAGGAGAAGGTTGGAGGCCCAGAGGGCCTCGGGCGGGAGGTGGTCGCCACATCGCCGCGGCCGACACGGCCACGGCGGCTCTGGCCCTGGAGCCCGAGCACGTCAAGGCTCTCTTCCTGCGCGGCGGGGCCCGGCTGGCGTCCCGCAGCCCGACGGAGGCGCCGTGGGCGGCCGCCGCAGGAGGGGAGGCGTTCAGAGGCTCGCCGCGGCTTAGGCGGCGGCTCGGGCGGCGGCTCGGGCGGCGGCTCGGGCGGCGGCTCGGGCTTCCTGCGGCTCGGGCGGCGGCTCGGGCTGCGGCCCGGGCTGCGGCTCGGGCGGGCGGCGGCTCGGGCTGTGGTTTGGGCCGCGTTCCCGGCTGAGGCTCAGAGTGGCTGTGGCTGCGGCTGCGCTGCGGGCTGCGGCTGCTGGTTGAGCTGCGGCTCGGTCTGTGGCTTCTGCTCGGCCTTGCTTTCTGTACGCCAGAGGAGCTCAGAGGTTCGCTTCTGCTTGCGGGCCTTGTATACGTACACCGATGAGTACACACCACGTCGTTTGGTTGGCCAAGGAGCCAAGGTGCGTAAGGAAGGAACTCGGTGTATAGACGCTCCAGCTTCCCACAGGTTGGACAGCTGGGGCGTCTACACATCGAGCTTTTTGGTCGACCAAGCGGCGTGGTAGATACATCGAGCCCCTCTAAGGGGGGGGCGGAGCTCCGACGCTCGAGCTGGGCCGCCTGGCGGCGCCTCCGGAGGCGCCTCTGGCGCGCTCCCTCCGGAAGTTTCTGCTGCTGCCGTTTTTCGTTCCTCTGTCATCGGGCCTTGCTTGCGGCCTGCTTGAGGTTCCGGGTCTGCGCTACTACTGCGCGGTGCTCGGGGGCGGGCCTGTTAAGAGGTGAGATGGGAGGGGGAGGGGGAGGGAACGGAGAGCGCAGTTTTCGGGGGGACAGGGGAGTGATCGGACCAGGGGCAACGTTGGCGGGGGTGGGCTCAGGAGGGGCTGGATCGATCCTCAATCGCACGTTCATTGCCGAGGGGGGCCCGCTGGTCCATCCCTCCCAGGAACATGCGGTTTCGTTCTCGTGCGCCTGTTGCCGATCTATCGGCGATGTATCGCCGACTCCGGCTCTATATTTCCCCCTGAGCCGGTCCCCAACGTTCCCCCTCAGCCTGGGTTCGGCGCTCCCAGGGGCCCCCCCCAACGCCGCGCACCAGAGCTTCCCCTTGCCCAGCGTTACTCTGACGTGTGGTCGCTATCAGCGGCAACGTTAGGGGGGATAGGCCCAGAGGGGAATCGCCGATTCAGGCTCGATGTCCCACCCCCCTCCGAGCTGGTCCCCCCCACGTGTGTCCCCTCAGTGGAAGGGGATGGAGGACAGGATGCGAGCGAGCGTCGTGCGACCAATGCTGCCCCGCTCGCCCTTCCCGCCGCGTCCGTCTCTTCCCGCCTGTGTTCGGTGGCCATTCACGCGGAGTTGGTACTGGTTGCTTTGCGCGGATTTTCTTGGGTATGTGCTGTGCCCCGGCGGTGCGGCGCGATCATCTCCGAAACCCACCTGCCCCGTCCTCCTCTGGGAAGCCCCCGAGCTCAGAGGAAGGGGAGGAGGAGGAGGAGGAGGAGGAGGAGGAGAAGGAGGAGGAGGAGGAGGAGGAGGGAGGAGGGAGGAGAGGGAGGAGGGAGGAGGGAGGAGGAGGGAGGAGGGAGGAGGGAGGAGGAGGAGGAGGAGGGCGAGTTTGGGGATATTCGCGTGCGGCGCCGCTGTCCCAGCCTTGCGTGGTTCAGCTCGGGCGCCTGCACCCCGTCCTTGTTTTTCGGAGAGGCGACCGGGCGGCCGGGGTGCGGTGGAGCACGGCGAGGTCCAGAGGATCGTTGTTAGCAAGCTGCCTTTTCAGAAGAAGCTAGAAACCATGAGCTACAGTCGGCCCAGACTAGTAGGTCGACCCTGCCAGCTCAAGGGTACCCTTGTGTCCTGTGCCTCGCGGCACGTGCCTTCTTACACTCCTATGGCGATGTGGCCCTCGGAAGGGTCTTGTGTCCTCTCGCGTGTCCTGTCCAATCAAGGCCGACTGTATCCTTTGACTCCGCTATCCCGTGGCGGTTGGATTATTGCCCTGGGAGGTGTTCACGAGGGAGAACACACAGACACAATTCATCGTCGACTCCCAGGGAACTATGGGAAAACATGGGAAGTGGGGGGGAAGACAAACACCCAGGAAATATGGGTAACTATGGGGGATCCTGTTATTTGCGTGTATTTATTTGTGTGTCCCCTGCCCGTTTTTGTCCCCTGCCTGTCCCGCTTTTCTTTGTCGGCCCGTCCCGCGGTCCAAATAAGAGCCGCGGTAGCTTGGCATTTGCTGACAGCACGATGAGTAGCTGTCCCATTGGATGTGTTTGCTCTTGCCAGCTGCGGGCCACAGGCAAACGGAGACACTTTCCTGGGGTGCTTGCTGGACGTCGGGCTTCTCACTCCTGGTGTCTTGGCATGCTGGGTGCGCTTTTCTTTGATCATCCTACTCTTCTCTCTGTCCGCGAGGCTGTGCAGGATCTCATGCTGGCGGTCTCGCTCGATCCGGACTTGGGGCGGTGGCAGGAAAAAGCGTACCGAAGCAAGAAGAGGATTCTGAAGTTCTGGATGTGGATGACGTCGACTACGCCACCGCCGCTGCCGACGCCGACGACGAAAGTGGTCACGGCTGCGACGACGACGACGACCATGACCATCCCTGCTTACGAATTTGTCCCTGTATGGGCGTTTGTCTCTCTGGTCTCAGTCCCATCCCATCCTGGTTCTCCGTCCCTCGCCTTCTTTGGGTCTCCTTCGGGCCCGCCGTCGCGCGTCGGCCACGTACATGAGCCACTGTTCTGGCGATAACCCGAGGATAAATCAAAAAGTAACGATGCGAATGTTGGCCATGCCACGGACTTCGCCACTGCTTTAAAAAAGGTGCCGCAGCAGCAGTATCTACTTGGTGAAGTTCTGCCACCGGTCTCCTTTCGATGCTATGTAGAGGACGGTCGCCTGCTCCCAATGACCGTAATGATCTCTTCGTCGGAGGGTTGCGATCGCCGCTTCGGCAAGGGACTATGCGGCCAGCTTCTTACATTTGTACTTGCGCTCTGCCGGCTGGAGTAACTGGTTGCAGGCACCATGGGGTGTTAACGTTTTCTCGCTCTGCTACTCATGCAGGCGCTTTCGTTGAAGCTACGTGGTCGTGTGCAGCTCCTTTCCCTGGCTTGGTCAATCCAGAGCTGGAGCTTGCTGCCTCCGTGGTGCTTTCAATGTGACGGGCGATTGGCTCAAGCTGGCGATGATCGATTCGCTTTCTCGGGTGCCTTTGCGCTACGTTGTCGTGTCTCACGTCGACCTCTGTAAGAGGCACTTCCTCTGCGCGTGGCAGCGAGGACTGCGGTATTCCCGCCGGCAGGAATCGCAGTCTCAACAGCGGCCGAATCAGAAGCCGCCATCAAGAGCGGAAACGGGGGTTCTATCTCACTGGCCTTCGAGCTCCGCTCTCCTCGCGCTTCCCCTCGTCCTCCTTGCCTCGCCCTCCTGCTCAACGACTGCTGCTCTTGCTCCTGCGTTTTATCCTGATCCGCTATTCGAAGAAGGAGAAACTACATGACCCTAGTTTTACGGAGCTCCGCTCGCATTTCTCGGATCGGCGCCGGGCTCCACAGGCAGCGCCTCCGGCGCCGTCCCTGGCGCGCTCCTCGCGCCAGGGAGGGGGGTCCAGCGCCGATCTGGGAAATCCGCGCGGGCCTCTGACAGTTTGTGCTCATGCTGCCTCTTGTTGTTCTAGTCACGCTTGGCGTTGCAGAGATAGCCTGCGACGTGGCGCCGCCGGTCCGCGTACTGCACGCTGTCCCCCCCGCCTTGGGGACAGCGTGCACAAGGGGGAAGCCCGGGCAGAAGGGTAAGAGTGTACAGAGGGATCCCTCGCGGGGGATCGCCTCACACGGGTAGCGTGCACGGAGTTCCCCCTGGCAGGAAGCGTCTTTGGGGGTCCTGGGCGGATCGGAGGACGTCTGGAGGCCTTGGGCCAGTGCCGCAGGCCTCCGTGCCCGAGGCATCGTCGTCGTCTTCGTCGTCGTCTTCGTCGTCGTCGCCGTCGTCCTTGTCCTCCTCCTTCATCTCCTGGCCGCCCAGGGGGCCTCCCCTCTCTCAGTGAGCCCCCGGGCTCCACTGGGTTTCCCTTGGGCCCTCCCAGGCCGCTTTCTGGGCTCTCTCCAGGAGGGAAAAAACACACAGACACAAGTAATCGTCGATCCCTCAGAAAATATGGGAAAATATGGGAAGTGGGGGGGGGGAAGACAAACACTCAGAAAATATGGGAAAATGGGAATCCTGTTATTTGTGTCTATTTATTTGTGTGTCCCAGAGCCCCTTCATCTCTGGCTGCTCTCGTGGGCTCGTGCTGGAGCCTCTTGGGGTCTCCTTACGGCGCTCTCGGGGTA